GTCAAGACGTCACTGACGACCATGGCAAGATAACCACCATCGCTGCTTTGTTGTTTACCTCCTCTGGAAGTCCCAGATGCGTCGGAGGGCCAAACGCCGTCGTTTTTGGGTTCACCCTATCCTGCAGAAGCGCATCCAGCTCGGCGAGTTTCACCACCTCCTCCAGGAACTCCGTCTGGATGATAGCCGCTTTCAGCAGTACTTCAGGCTGACTGGGGCCCAGTTTGAGGACCGGTTGGCGAGGGCTGGTGCCAGGATCTCCCGGCAGGACACCAACTACAGCCGCTCTATTTCAGCTGCGGAGCGCCTGTCCATCTGTCTCCGGTTTGTAGCAGTTTATTGTTGTTGACACACGCCAGTGACGTCAGGAGAATCTCAACGCTGATTGGCTTTCGCGGCACAGCGTCACGCGAATTCGCCTCAAAAGTTCAATATTTTCAACTCGAGCGATGAGGCGTTGGACGCGAATTTCGCGTCTATCGCGCCGCGCTGAACGCCTCTATCGCGTCCATCGCGTTGCGCTAGACGCGTCCATCGCGCCGCCCGGCGCGAATTCGCGTCTAATCGCGTCTTTGCATTGACTTTGTATGTAATCTTGACGCGCGAATTTGCGAATTTGCGAATTCGCGTTTGGTGTGAACGCAGCTTAAGAAAAATCTTAGAATTCCTCGAATTCTAAGATTTTTCTTAGAATTTTCCCTTGGTAAGATAAAAGTTATTCACAAAGCAACTTAGGCCTTAAGAGAGCTCCTAAGGTGAAAAACTGTTAAGAGGAGGGAGGAGGACTTTTAAGAAGCCTAAGAGTGTCTTAAATAGAGAAGATGGTGGAAAGACAGAGAGGAAGAGGAGATATTCTCCGTATATTGAACGACAGTGATTTAATAAGATGCTACCGGCTTGATCGTGCAGGGATAATGTTTGTGGTTGACCTCATCAGGGATGAGCTTACTTTTCCCACCCAAGGTAGTAACGCAATAACGCCCACTTTGCAGCATGTACCAGCGCTTCTCACACTAATCGCTTGTGCATAAAAGGAGAGGGAACGATGCATTGATTTGTCGGGCAATGCGCTCCCAAGTCTGCCTCTTCCCTTGTGCCATGATCCGGGGACCGAATTTCCCTCTTAAAACTCCGTTGTTCTCCTCCACGAGCTGTGCCAACAGCAGGCACTGCTCTTCTGTCCAATTCGGCTTTCTCGTTCTTTTTTTCTCCATTTCGTTTGTTGTTTTGGTCATTCTGCCAAATCAAACGCTTTTTACAAGGAGGCCAGCAATCACAGTAATTGCTGACAGCTGAGTCTGTGTCCACCATTAATATCAAATAGATTAAGTAGTAAAATTACCAGCATGGCGAGTAAACATAACGATAAGCAAATCAATATAATAATCGGCATGTGAATGACTAAGTTCAAACATTTTGAAGCTGTGTAACAATTAATTTAATTTTGCTGAGTTTCATCATCATGACATAAAATTATTTTCACAATTACACATTTCTTAATACAGTCTAAGTTCTATGATCGGTTGATTTCACTGTCCATTCATTACTAGGAGCGCATTTGTTTTTGTTTTGTTTTTTTTTCTTTTTTCCTTTTTGTAACAACCAATCACAGCTTTTAGTCATACCTAGCAATGGGGTCTACCACACCTCCTCACTAAGATAAAAGTTTCTGTCCCCTCCTTGCTCAAAGTTGCTCTCAGAAACTTCCTGAATCACTCTTAAGCTAAGATTCCTTGCTAGGAATTTTTAGGCTAAGTCAGGAGCGCTCTGAGAGAACTCTGAGAATCTTTGTGAATACAGGCCCTGATCTTTGAAATGTTCCTTTATTGATAGAAGCATTACTGGACAATATTTATATGTTTAAATATCTCACAGAGGTTCCTGGCTGCTGCTTTGACATTTATGGACAAGACACCAAGATGGTTCCCCTAGCAATGGGGTCTACCACACCTCCTCACTAAGATAAAAGTTTCTGTCCCCTCCTTGCTCACAGTTGCTCTCAGAAACTTCCTGAATCACTCTTAAGCTAAGATTCCTTGCTAGGAATTTTTAGGCTAAGTCAGGAGTGCTCTGAGAGAACTCTGAGAATCTTTGTGAATACGGGCCCTGATCTTTGAGATGTTCCTTTATTGATAGAAGCATTACTCGACAATATTTATATGTTTAAATATCTCACAGAGGTTCCTGGCTGCTGCTTTGACATTTATGGACAAGACACCAAGATGGTTCTGTAGAATAGGGATGGACTTTGGTGGACAAAAGAGAATTAATTGTTTGTTTTTGTTTTGAACCAACAGGAAATAAAGAATCATTTAACTGGACCACATGTTAAATTAAGGGGTTTTGATGGGAAATTAACAACAAGAGAAAATATAAAAATAAGCCCTGCATTTAAGGCATGTAGAAAAGAAACATGTTTGTAGGAACTTGAATTTGATGTAACTGAGCCAAACTCCCCCCTCAAAAAGCCTCCTCTCTCCAGCACTCTGTGAATTGCATATTAGATCTACAGGAGAAGAAATATCTGAAAGCAATACAGAATGATTAAGAGTCTCAGCCAACTGCATCATACTCCATAATATTATTTTTTTAAGAGTTTTCCTTTACATAAATCAAGACATTTCTGCTAGTATGACATGCAGAGAACTTTACCAGAATGCAGGAAATGAAGATTTTGAGGCTCAAAATTTCATGGGGGAGGACCCCAGACCCCCCAACTTGATATGTGTCCCCTGCAATGTTCAAATGAAATGACGCCCTTGTCTGCATCACTGTATGGGTACTGAAATGAATTAAAAAATATGTAAGTAAGTAAAAGATATGCTACTCTATGTATTTTTTAATTTCTTAATTGTAAAAGGATTGCCCTTTTTTGCATAAGCACCTGCCCCAGAAAATGTCTGTGCAAGGCACTGTTCAAGACCATTGTGGATCTAATTGACATCAAATGTTTGCTGAGACAAATATAAGGCTGTCAAGGTGGTGGAAAACAGATTGGGACTCACTGGCTGGAGGAATCTAAGGCAAAGGATAAAGACTCCGCACACAAGGAGAGAATAACAAGGTATGTGGACTTAGCTATAATGTTTTGGCTTGACACATCGTTAGTGATAAGATCCAATATGGAAGCAAAGCTGGGTGTCTCATCATTTTTGAAAAGTCTCTGTTTCCACCCGTCCAGCCTAAAACACAACCCTGGAGTTTTCAAATTAAAACCAGGTCAGCTCTGTTTTTAAAGATCTCTATTTTAATGTTCTAAAATGGTGGTGTTATGTGGAAACTAGGCATGGATGTAGCAATAATTAGATATTTTAAATCAAAAACATATTAGTGTGGATGTAGTCTGAGTAGAAGTACCTTTTAAAGATGCAGTGTCCTTACTCTCAACAGAGATCTCTGTCTTGTCCTTGTCCTCAGTGTTGGCCTCGTCTACTTCTTCCTTCACTGTGGTCAGCTCAGGCTCACTCTTATACAGCCGGTAGTCTGGAGCTTGCTGTAAGGAAGAGATTGCTCAGGGTCAGAATACACACCATGTGGCAGCAGTCCACACACACACACACACACACACACACACACACAGGCCCAAGTGGTGTTATTATCACAATACACTAGGGCTGCTCCCTGAAAATTGGAGATTCAAACCATCAGAACCACCGCTACTCTTTCGCACAGGGAGCTGCGGACACACAAGCGGCACAGTGGACGCTGCACCGTAAGGCTCTGAGATAACATCATGAATTACAGCTCACAGATACTTAGTACAACATGGTCGGCTTTTGTTTGATGTGTGCGTGCAGCTTGTTTACTACAATAAACGATTGCCGTTTTCACACTTAACGTCCCACTGAGCCCCGTTCAAACTTTAAAACCTTTTATGGAAAAATTACAAAAAGTTGCCTATTTAAACGGCCAAATCTGATTTGACTGGCACAATGCTGAGGTGGGTACAGCCCTAAATTACACTCTTAGTTTTAAAAGGAATTTTGAGAATTAAGTTATATTTCACCATCTATTTACAAAATATTATGAATTTCTCTCTTTACATTGAATCTTTAGAGCAGCAAAAAGTGCCATTGCAATAGTCAAGGCATTAAAGAGAGTTCTCAGGTGCTATAAAAAGGCTTTCTGAATGTGCATACTAGAAGTAAAAGGAAAAACACACTTAAAAAAATTGTAAACCCACCCAATAAAACATTACCCTCATAACAATGAAATTCCACACATAAATCCACATTTAGACCACAATGGGCTTGACACACTGACAGCTGGATGGTAAATGGATTGCAGGGGTAAAAAGAAAAACAACAATACATTAAAATCAAATACATATATCCAAAATGGTGCTTGCTTAGGAATGAGTCTCTTCAGTGTGATTTAGGCTTAAGGGTGGAGTTGAGGTGTGACAGTGATGACCGAGAATATAAAAATGTTTGGAAGCACACATGGTTGCCAGCCTTCGGTGAACCAAAGATGTAGATGGATGGAGTAGACATGGGTGGGGGGGGACATGAAGGTTTTCAGTGGTTCTTACGCTGTGTACTCCGTTCCTGGAGCTGGCCTTGCGATCCTCAGTGCGGTGGGAGTGGGGGGGCTGGCGGCCGCCAGGATGTGCGTGGTGGGGGGGCACGTGAGGGGGGTGCTCTGATGAGTCGTAGTACTGGGGAAGGGGCGGGCGCGGGGGCATGCTGTCACCCTCCTTGAGAGGACTGAGTGGCAGCAGCGTCACTGCCTGTTAACAGTTAACACAGCTGGTCTCATTCTAAGGTAATCACATGGTATTACTGGACTGTACCTACTGATGGATATGGGTTGGGATCAGTAGTTTTTCTCACTGAACTTAGCTGCCTATTGCTACTGGAAATTAGGCTGATTAGAGAGTGAACTAAAACAGTTAAGTTTGAGGCTGTGACACCAAAACAATGGGCTGAAAGATGCTGGGACACTTTAGCCCCATTTCCACCAAACAGTTTTGGTATGGTACCTTTGGAATCAAAAGTAACCCTTCAGACATGGTACATAGACCCTAGGTCTGTTTAGCTTTTCCACCACAAGCAGTACTCTTAAATGTGGGTGGAGTTGTTGTCACTCACTGCTCCGTCCAGCACTCGCTGTACTTCCTCATCACCAATGACACAGAATAAAAACCTCACAGTGTCATTTGGTTCACATCACTGTGATAGAATGACTATGTTAAGCAAGTTTAGATTCATTTCATGGCACACTGATGACTGAACCAAATCCAGTGTTTGACTAATCAACACATTCTCACTCCGACCTTGTCACATATCAATGTTTGGTCATTTTTCGTAATCGACCACTTCGGAGTGAAACCGGGTTGGCCTGGTAAAAGGAAAATTAATCTAAACACTTCTGATGTTCCTCGTAAAATAGTCTGCAATGGTGAAAAGAAAGAATAATAATTAAAAAAACACAACTAGTATTTAACTGGATAAAAACAAAACAAAAAACAGATTTTGGGAGAATGATCCAATGCTGAGAACACATGATGAAAAATCTTTATGATGTTGGGAAAAATGCATATACCATTACATCCCTGTTGCTACCAAAATCACAGTCATTCTGTCTTACAAAAGTACTATTGAGGCATTTAATTGGGGCCAGAGGCTAAGCAATGCGGCTGAGAATAAGTGTGGTGTTATGTGGAATGTGCTGTGTGGGCAAGGGCACTGCCTTACCTCATTCTTCTGTAGACTGGAGAGCGGTTTGGAACCAGTTAAACCTGATGAATATGGGAATATAGAGAGAAGAGGAATAAGACATTTTCCATAACATGACATCTGAAAAGGCATTTGTAGTTAAGTACAAACTGTAAATCATATCAGACAAATATGAAATGACTCTGAGAGTGTGACTTCAACATGTGTTATTGGTGACTCTCACTGCTGTCTATGCTCCGCTGTGGTTTATTTTTGGCCAGAGCCTCCATCACGTCCTGAATCCTCCACAACTCCTTCTGGATCTGGATGTGCCGCTGGCTTGGAGGCTCTGTCTAAGGACATACACACATACACACACATACATACATAGGTGAATGCCATTAAAACCTTGATCACCTTGGAGATGTGTGTGTGTGTGTGTGCGTGCGTTTTACCTGTGGGCTGCCCAGGGCCTCCAGCTGCTCCAGCAAGTTAGACTTGGCTAGAGTGACATCTGCACCCAACCTGTCGTACTCCCTCCAGGAACGCTCCAACTCCTGAAAACCAGGACATCAGCTGACAGGAGGTTCACTGGACTCTGTGTGTGTGCCTACATGTGTGTGTATGTGTGCTTTAACGTCTGTGTCCCACAAGGAATTCTTTCCACCTCGCTCTTTATGGCTACCTTGCTCCTGGTCTCTTGCATTTATCCCACTTACATCTTGTGAAAAAAACTGAATTTACCACCTGACTGTTGTAGTTGCAGTTGACAGTTTACATCCATGATTGTCCAGACTCATATGTAGCCATGACAGCTGACAATGCTTCAAATATGGATGTTGCTACAAGAAGCTACAAATTCTAAAACATGCATGCTTCACATACATGTTCAACCTGGCAGCACAGAAAATCTATACAATCAGCATAGTTTCAAGGTGGACACCCAAGATTAGTGTCACCAATTCAGTATCTGACTAAATGCCTCCCCCTCTGTTTCTGAGGTATGATGCTGAGTAATGGCCGGAAAAGTGTTTCTGCAGAACAATATGATGACACAGTGAAGCTGACCTTTGACCTCTTGAATATAAAACATCAGCACTTCATCATTTTATCTTATTAGACATTTGTATGAAATTTTGTCATAATCAGCATATGGATTCTTGAGTTATGGCCAATAACATGTTTTGCGAGGTCAACGGAACCTTTGCATTTGACCACCAAAATTTAATCAGCTCATCTCAGCTCATCTCAGCTATAGTCCAAGTGAATGTCTGTACTAAAATTGAGGGAAAACCCTCACGGTGTTCCTGAAAATGAGACAGGTGCTAGGTCACCATGACCTTGAACTCTGACCAGTTCAAATCAATCAAATCAGTATATCCTTGAGTCCAAGTGAACATTTGTGCCAAATTTAAGAAAATACCCTCAAGGTGTTCTTGAGATATCACACTTATAAGTATGAGATGGGTGCAAGATTACAATGGTTAGAAGGTTACAAAACACTATAATGACAGTTAAATAAAATACAGTAATAATACTGTAAAACAAACATTTACAGTAACTTACTAGCATCCAGCTGCCGGTAAGTTACTGAAAAATTTATAGCAACCATCTTACAGTGTTTGAACCTCTGAGGTAATTGACCCTAGGTTAGGGTTACGTTTTCTGCACACTGGGCACATTGTATATTGAATGAAATGTGCTTTATAAAAAATGTATTTGTTTGCTTTGTAGGGCTGTGATCACACAGAAAGCATTTTAGCAGCTGGAGGTGGCTTTTTGTAATCGTTTTTAATGAGAATGAAGCTCTTTGTAACTGTTTTTAAAGAGAATGAAGCTTTTTGCTTGCTGTTTCTGTGCCGGAGTGCTCTGAACTCCTTTGAGTTGAAAAAATTTCAACTCAGAGCTGAAAGCACCCAACGCCATTTCTTTTTTTCATCATCTTTTTTCCCATTGTCCATTCAGATGATTTGAGAGGCAGGCCTTCTGTGGTGGTCATGACAACACGTTTACAGTCTGTAAACAACGGGGGAGAAACTGGTGGTGCTCAGTCATTGGATACCCAGATCTATATGGCCTGGTGATAGACAGCAGCTTGTTAAACTGCCCTCAAATCATCCTAAACTATGCCTGGAAATGGCCATCATGGAGGTGAAGCTCCTGGACCAACTGGTGGTTCTCCCCGTGATCCTCCGTCTTGTTCAGGGTCTCATGTACCCACACATATGGCAAGCCGTTTTAACATTTAATCACTAAGTCTGACTATCCGGAATTACCATTATAGATATCTATAACGTCATTTTGACTAGTAGTAATGTCATTGTGACTAGTATGAATTTTAATTTAAGATATCTGTAAAGTCATTCTGACTAGTCAAAACTACAGTTACAGATATCTGTAATTCAGTTTTGACTAGTAAGATTCAAACTATTTTTGCCATTCATGTGTATGGGGTTTGTTATTATAGATATCTACAATTACATTATGACTATCTATAATTCCAGTTTGAGATATCTACAACGTCATTTTGACTAGTCATAATTCAGTTACAGATATCTACAACGTCATTTTGACTAGTCATAATTCAGTTGAGGATATCTATAACGTCATTTTGAGTCATATTTCAGTTACAGATATCTACAACGTCATTTTGACTAGTCATAATTCAGTTGAGGATATCTATAACGTCATTTTGACTAGTCATAATTCAGTTACAGATATCTACAATGTCATTCTGACTATCTGAAACTCAATTCAAGATATCTAGAGAGGACCATGTAGATATCTTCAATTGATGATAATTAAAGATATCTTGAACTTGAATTATGACTAGTCAAAATTAAATTGTAGATCTCAAACTGGAATTACAGATATCCACAATTCAGTTGCAGATATCCACAATAAGAATTGCAGATATCCGCAACTACATTGGAGATATCTATAATGACAAACCCCATACACATGAATGGCAAAAATAGTTTGAATCTTACTAGTCAAAACTGAATTACAGATATCTGTAATTAGAGTTTTGACTAGTCAAAATCTAATTACAGATATCTTGAATAAGATTTTTGACTAGGCAAAATTATGTTGCAGATATCACTAATGAATATCCAGTCTAGCGATTAAATGTTAAAAGGGCTTGCCATACACACAGATCTGTTTCTCTGTGCCCAACAAGCTATTTGCTAACAGCCTCTCACCCTCAACCAGAGCTACAGCAAGTACCGTATGCCTGTCCATTTCAGCAACTAGATACTAATTACTGTAAAATAAATATATAAACAAACGGTGGATTGATTACAGGGGAAGGTTAGGGTAAGGAGGTGATGGGGTAGTTGCCTGGCAACAATAAAAAGGTGCAGTAACCTTTTTTCTTTTTTTTACTAGTGGCATTCAATTAAAAAAAAAAACAGTGCGTGCATGTAGACAAAATGCTGTCTACATGATCGGGACCTTAGTGCTAAACATATCACCTTAACAGCCATTATGACACTGATATCACACTGATATTGCATGATAATAATTATGTGAACTGAGAGCATTTTCTTTTTTTTTTTTGCACAAGGTCAGTGACAAAAATTACCTCTTTTTGCCAAAATGGCACCTTTCAATAAGCTCACTACTGATGAAAATGGAATGTGTGCCTAAAACTAGGACCAGATAGGACTAATGTCCTACTCCAAATAACTTGATACATGCAGGCCCAGCTGTTTGTTGGTCTGCATTTGTATTTGAAAAACCTATTCATGTTTATCAAGTTTTAGACCAAATGCTCCAAGAAATGGACTTGACTGCCAGTCTGGAGGTGTCTTTGTGGTTTTTCTTTAATAAACCTCTTGTTCTTCAGTGATGAGTGTGTGTAAGTGTGTGTTGGGGTGTGCTCACAGTGTTGACTCTGGACAGCTCTCTGCAGGTGCTGAGCAGGCCATTCTGCAGCACATCTCTCTGCTGGATGAGGCTCTGGGTAGCTGCAGCATTGGAGCTGCTCTGTTCACTTAGCTCCTGACTGGCAGACAGCAGGGCCGTCTCAAGAGTGTGCTGCCAAACAAAACACACACGCACGCACGCACGCACGCACGCACGCACGCACGCACGCACGCACACAAAACAACTTAATGCTTGTATGAGTCTATACAAAGACACAAAAATGAATACACACACTGGGAGCTGTACCTTCTCTCTGTGAAGCTGCTGCAGTTTCTCCTCCTGCATCCTCACTGCTTTGTCCTGTTCACACAGTCTGCTCAGCTTGGTCTGTCACAAACACACAAACATTAACCACACTCTCTTTGAATCTTCTCCTTTTCACTGAAAGCTGGGCTTGTCTTACGTCTATGTCAGCCTCCTCATTGTGCTGGATGAAGGAGCTGTCTTTGTAGTCTTCTGGACTGATCTGAAACAAGAAGGCACAGTCAGAGATGGACAGCAGAGGGCGACAACAACACATCTGTCAGGATGGAGATCTAGGAACTCCAGCCACGAAGAGTTCTCCTCCAAAATGCAACTTTATGCAGTTTGGGGGAAAGGAATGACCTGACAACTCATCGTTTCACTTTATTTTTCACAATGCACAGAGGATAAAGTCTGTTAAATTGTACATTAACGCAAGGATATGACTTATCTGATATTCTCCTAAAAAATACTAGAATTTGATGTCATGTGATTGAAGCTATGTTTTATAAGACTTAAAGCAACTTTCCCCAAATGCTACAGATTTTAAAGAAAAACTCTTCTTGTTGTTCCTGGCTGCAATTCACTCCATAGGCAGGCAGTAAGGGGATGAAGGGATGAGTGCTCTGTGCGTATTCACTAATCCTGTTTAATTTCCCTTAAAGCTGTTTACCCAGGTGTTACTGGGAAAATTGTGGCTTAATATTGTAATGTAGAGAAAGACAGAGGGAGGTGTAGCCTCAGAGGACAGACACGCATTAATGATCATAAAATTAAGCCCCAAACTATTATATGTTTGGGGCTTATGATCTGGTGCATATATATATATATATATATATATGTATATATATATATATATATATATATATATATATATTTTTCT